CTGCTGCTGCTGCCGCCGCCGGGGCCGCCGCTCCTGCTCCTGCCGCTCCTGCTGGTGGCGGGCTGTGCCTGGCGGCCGGCTTGGGGCCAGGAGGCGCCGCAGACCCCCGACTGGAGGATGACGCTGAAGACCATCCGCAACGGGGTGCACAAGATCGACATGTACCTCAACGCGGCCCTCGACCTGCTGGGCGGTGAGGACGGGCTCTGCCAGTACAAGTGCAGCGACGGTGAGCGGAGGGGAAGGGAGAGAGAGAGGGGGAGACCCCTGAGACCCCGCCGGCGACCCTTGTCCCCGGCCGCTCCGGCCGGGGCTGCGGGGATGGGGCGGCCCAGAGCACCGCTCCCGGGGGAAGCCTCGCCAACAACTTCTTGCCGGTGTCTGTATGTATAAATACATGTGTCAGCCTCAGCAAACAAGTTCTTACGCGTGTGTTTATGTTTAAATACACGTGTAACCTGTATAGAAACTAATATACGCGTAAGCAGTTCCTCGGTGTGACTTTTAAGTAGCGACGTTTGCCTTTGACAAACTGTCAAATGTGTAGCTGGTGTGTACACTAAAAAAAAAAACACAAACTCTGGAGTGGAAAGAGTTGCTCCCTTCCAACTGGTTATTTACGAACACTCCTGAGCGTTTTGGTTTGGAACAGAAAAGCCTAACTCTGGGCTGTGGAATGTGTTGTTTCAGAGTCATGTTTAAATAAGAGCTTTTAATGGTAGCCACGTTTGCCGGCGGAAGGAATGCATCCTGCTGTTTGTAAATCCTGCTGCTACCAGCAGAGGACATCTGTGCTTCTTCCCTGCGTTTCAGCTGCCTATTTTAAAATCTAATTGAGGCAGTTCAAGTTGGCGTGACCTGATAGATTATTATTATTAGGATATTAGACTATTATTATATGACTACTGTTATTAGGCTAACCCTGCTTGAGCAGGGAGATTGGATCAGATGACCCAGTGTGTTCCTTCCAACCTGACCTCTGTGAATCTGTGACAACCCGCCTGAAAGTGGCTCCCCAGCCATCCTGTCCTAAGTGCCAGGCGGGCAGTGCTCCAGAAAGGGGTTTTCTTGCCAGGCTTTTGGCTGGTGCTCTCAAAACAGGACACTCACCGTAACCTGGAATCCCCTCCCCCCCATTTTACTATGCTGGATTTGTTAAGTCAGGAAATGAGTTTGGTGGTGGCACCCTGGTTGGCTCCACAAGAGTGGCCAGGACACTGTGACATTTCCTTGCTGTACTAGAATATGCATGCACCTTTCAGATGTGTTTTTTCTTCACCATCACTTTTAATTGTGGTGTCAGTTTGTTTCCAATACCAAAACAAGTTGGAGGGTCGTTTTTCAAATTAACAGTTTTCCTTCACTTGGAATGCAGAATTCCTTGCCTTGCTCTAGTAATGAGTATTTGGGGAGATGTGACTTTAGCAGTCTCTACTAATTTAAGTTGTATTAACATTACAGCTGTAGAAATAAAAACAATGTTTTGTTCCAGTTAATTTTAAAGGTTAAGCTAAAAAAAAAGTTAGAACACTTCTGCTAATTGCATATAAAGCATAGAAGTATTAATGAACTTACACTAAAGTACTCTATTCATAAATATAATCGTACATATATAAAATTAATATAATTATAATTATAATTAATATATTAAATATATTTGTGCATATTGCATACTTAACTGACATAGCAATTTTAGTAACTTAAGCTCCACATCTTTTTTTTTTTTAACTTTTGAAGCTAACATTGACACTTGTTCAGGTGACTTGTCCCCCTTTTTAAAAAAAATTGCCTAGTACTCCTGAATTGTAATGTGGAAAGGATTGTTGATACGCAGGTGCCTGAGTATATGTTTAAGTTAAAAATATGACTGTCTTAAGCCCTACCAATGCCTGTGGTGAGTTTTAACAGTGCAAAAAGTCTATTTTAGGCATGATAAATTACCTTTTTCAGGATCAAGGCCCGTTCCTCGCTATGGATATAAACCATCACCACCAAATGGCTGTGGATCCCCTCTATTTGGAGTTCAGGTAGGTACCTCCATTTTGGGACTTGTCTTTTATACATCAGCTTTCCTCAATGTAGATGATTTTTCCCCTCCCCCATTCCAAGAATGAGACAGCATCCATATACAATGTCCCTGCTCTTATCAGCTTCAACACATGCTCTGGTAACAACAGATGGAAAATGTTAGTATTGTAAATGAACACAGCATAAACATTTTCAAATATTATAAGCATAAAATGTAACATTGGTGATTAAATTTTTTGGTTTCTGATGTTTGGTTTAGTGTTTTGTTTACACAGTCCTGAAAGTGTTGAATAACCACAACTGTGAGAGCCAAGGGTTTGGCTCTGACTCATGCTGTCATTACTGACACTAATCCTTTTTCCTTAATGCTGGAAAGAAAACATGAATTAGCTTATTCTCCTGCTTTTGGCTGGGATAGAGCTAATTTTCTTCTTCATAGCTGGTGCAGTGCTGCCTTGCAGGTTCAGTATGAGAACAGTGTTGATAACACACTGATGTTTTTGGCTGTTGCTCGGTAGCTCTTACCCTAAGCCAAGGACTTTCCAGTTTCCCATTCCCTGGCAGTGAGGAGGTGCACGAAAAGTTGGGAGGGAGCACAGGCAGGACACCTGACCTGAACTGGCCAAAGGGATATTGCACACCACAGAACATGATGCTCTGTATATAAACTGGGGGAAGTTGGCCAGGAGGGGGCCGATTGCCACTTGGGGACAGGCTGGGCATTGGTCAGTGAGTGGTGAGCAACTGTATGGTGCATCACTTGTCTGTCTTGGGTTTTGTTTCTCTTTCTGTCTCCTTTTCATCATCATCATCATCATCATTATTATTATTATTACTATATTTTACTTTGTTTCAATTATTAAACTGTCCTTATCTCAACCTCTGAGGGATTTTTTTCTGATTCTCCTCCCCATCTCACTGGGGGCAGTGGGGGAGAGGCAGAAAGAGCAATCAAGCAGCAGCATGGTACTTAGTTGCTAGCTGGAGTTAAACCTAACACTTGAGTACCATGTCTGGGTGGGATGGAGTTAACTTTCTTCATAGCAGGCTGCATGCCACTGTGTTTGGGAATTTGGGGCTAAAACAGTGTTGATGGTTATGGCTGTTGCTGAACAGTGATTGCACAGCTTTTGGACTTTATCTTTTCCACTCCACTCTGCTCATCCACCACCCCAGAGTGTAGGCTAGGGCTGGGGAAGAGGTTGGGAGGGGACACAGCTGGGGCACTGACACAAATTGAACAGAGGGATATTCCATACTATATAGTGGTGCTCAGCAATAAAAACTGGAGTAGTGAGAGAAGGTGGGGAGGGGATGGTGAGGAGGAAGCCCACATATGACTTCCAGGGAGGCTGTTGCTCACGGACTGGCTTGGCATCCTCTCTTGCTTGTGAGATGTGGTGAATGATTGCTTTTGCACTGCTTATTTTGGGATATCTTTTTCTTCTTTTATTCATCTATTAAAGTGTCTTTATCTCAACCCACACATTTTCATGCTTTTGCTCTTCCTGTTCTCCCTCCATTCCATGAGGTGGGGCAGGGGTTGAGCAAGCACCTCTCTGGGTGCTTGGCTGCTGACTGGGGTCAAACCACCAAACAGCAAAATAGATAAGTGAATGACAGCTGGATTGGTCACATTAGTTTTTAATTTCTAACTGTTTCAGTTTATTCACAGGCTGTATCTTTCTTAGCTGGAATACTAATGGGGTATGTGTGTGTGTGCATTTTCTTCACAGTTTGACATTGGTATCCCTTCAATGACAAAGTGCTGCAATCAACACGACAGATGCTATGACACTTGCGGCAATAAAAAAAATGATTGTGATGAGCAGTTTCAGTCCTGCCTCTCAAAAATTTGCAGAAACGTGCAGAAAACACTTGGAATCTCAGAGAGTGTCCAGGGTAAGCGTGAAAAACCATTTCTTTTTTTTTTTTCAGGTTTAACTGAACCTTATTTGGCAAAGAATCTTTGTGCTGCACGATAAGGCCACATTTTCATAAGCTGATGCTGTTACTGAAAGATGCCTTGTTTTGTTCCTCTGCTGTGCAGCACAGACACTTGTACAGCACAGCAATGACACAGCATAGGAAAATGATCTGAGTTAAAACCTTAAGTTAAGGTTAGTTTTAGCTTTAGGGGAAAAAATAATGCTTCCCATTTAGGATTAAGAATATGGGCATACAACTTGATCCAAATGCATATATAATTCTTGCATTTACTGTAACATAGCTGAATAGTGACTGTTCTGCTGGGTGATTTCTAAACACCTACTGCCTGTGATTGCTAGTAAACTGTAGGAAAGTATGGAGTAATTTCCTTTTATGAAATAAGATATTAGAATAATACGCTGTCATAGCGGATGTAGTTAATGCTGTCCCTTAGTGAATAAATGTTAGGTTTCTTAGTAACAGGCGATATGATACTCCTTCTGGTGGTTGGCCTGCATCTGATGGATACATGACATAACTACTTTTTAACTTAGACATTGTCACTTTCACAGTATGTAGTCCCACTGAGAGCAGTAAGGCTTTAGAACAAGCCTGTGTTTGAACTGGTCAAATTCATTTAACTGCAAATAAGTAATCACGTTAGTCTTTAGTGACAGAACTGGTGAATATTTGTTCAGTTCTGTTGAGCTGGTATTAAAGATAGCAACTTCTGCATAAACTGGGATGTGAAGAGTGAGGGGATAAACAAGTTCTTTCATCGTTCCAAGACTCAGTATGTTTCTAAAGCAGATAACATATGTAGTGAAATTTCTTGTTTGTTTTGTTTGGCAGATGAAAAATCTTTATTCAAAACTTAAATGGTTCTGTGTTGGTTCAGTCTTTTATTTAACAATCTATTTGCCATGCCCAGAGAAGACTGCTTCCTTCTTAGAGTCATCCTCAGTTTGCCAGAGTTATTTTTGTTTGCTTCGTATTCCATTCAAAGCATACTTTTAACTGAACTCTTCTTTGCTTGCAGCTTGTGAATCAACTGTTCAGCTGTTGTTTGATGCAGTTATACATTTAGGATGTAAACCATACCTGGACAGCCAGAGAGCGGCATGTATGTGTCATTATGAGGGTAAGACAGATCTGTGAAAGAAGATACTGAGCTCTCACGGTGTAAAATAAAGATTCAGTTGAACTGAAGCAAGTCTTTGGTTACAAAGCCTTATGCTTTTTAGACAGTAATATCTTAAAACACTGACATGAATATTCTGATTTGAAAAATCACTACGATATTCTTATTGATCTAAAAAAGAAACAAGTCTTCTTTCTCTTCTATTTTGTGCCAGAATCTTGGAAACTGAAATTAGTTTCCTTTGGCGTATGTCTGCTCAGGGCATGTTCCTGTACAACACTACAGCACCAGTATACAACACTAGTGCCATTTTAAAGTTTTTAAAAAAACTCAGTAATGGGGGCATCAGAAGCACTGAAGAGTTATATTGAATTCTTGGATGATTTTTAATATAGGTCAAATTTTAGGTTTACTAGATGCATCTGATGGATACAACAGCAAAGAGCGTTTTGTGTGCATCTGTATGACATCTTAAATAGCCTATACGTCCGTGTTTCTGGTACAGTTGCCTTCAGTTCTCTCTGATATATGCTATCCTGTGGGCTTGTTGTTAAAAAAGCAACCAAAATACCCTAAACCTGTATACATCTACACTACATTTTTACCTGAATCTGTATCAACCTTAATTCTGCAGCACTTTTCAGATCGAGTATGTTGATCCTTTTAAGGCTTGACCAGTAAAATGAACAGCTTGCAACCTAAGGATATACTTTTGATTTGATAAAGTGGTGAAACGTAGTTTCTACGTTATGTTTAAAATTTTCTCAAATGTCTATTTTTAAATAAAATATTTTGTGTATTATATGCATGGAAAGGATATAGTGTTCAAACAAGTTGATTTATATTTATCTTGTGGCACAACTTGGCTACTGTACTTATCTTTGCTTTCATTTAGTATGTTCTGATGAAAACTAAAAGCAAGTTCAACAGTTAAGATCAGTAAGCCCAACAAAACCTTTTTATTTAAGATGTCCTCTGTGAGGCTGATGGATATTGGAGCCTGTATTTTTGCCATCTGTTCCCTTGACCTCTGTGAGGCTGAGCAACATCTGAGCCTTTACTTCTGTCATCTCTTCTCACTCTGACTTCTCTAGCTAAAATCACCTGATACATGAATTATTTGGGATTTGTTCTCTGTACTCAGCTTTCACTGCTGATCTACAGGTCTCAGGCCTTAACTTCTGCATTAGTTTCTCTGTTACAATGATTTGCTTTCATGTGGCCCTGATTCTGCTTTAGATATCCACAGCAGAGGAGTGAAAATTAAAATACTACATCTGTGAACAAGGAATAGAAACCATGCCAATACATAAAATTTACTGGACTTATGGACTATAATGTGATTTCTCTACTGGAAGGACTTTTATATGTTTTTTTTCTTTACCAGTTGTATTTTTGATTAGTTTGTCACTGGAGCTTACTGTGCCTCATTAAAAAAAGTTCCTGCTAAAGTTCTTTAGCCATGCTTCAAGGTTTCTTTTCTTATTTGTGGATATGAAATAGCACTACAAGAGAAGTAATACTTTAGAGTTTTACAAAACTGAGCTTGATGAACTCGTGGTTCCTTTAAATTTGGTGAAATTTATTTTCTACCATAAAATTGAAACAACTCTGAATTACTCTGGAATTCCATGGTTGTAACCCTAAAAATCTTTTAACATCAAAGCAGGGAATGGTAATGTCATTGCTTGTTTAAAATAAAAAGAAGAACTACAGAGTCCAAAATTCAGCTAAATGGCTGTTGAGTTTGGTACAGATGGGATTATACTGGATGCTTAAATGAAGGCATGTCCTGGTTTTGGATGGGATAGAATTAATTTTCATCCTAGTATCTGGTGCAGTGCTGTGTTTGGATGTGGTGTGAGAATAATGTGGATAACACACCAATGATTTAGTTGTTTCTGAGCAGCACTTACCTTAAATCCAGGACCTTTTAGTTTCCTGTGTTTTACCACTGAGCAGGTGCACAAGAGGGAGGGAGGAAGCAGGGCCAGGATAGCTGCCCCACACTGTCCAGAGGGATGTTCCATGCCATAAGGTGTCATGTTCAATATATCCTGATCAGCCAAGAGGCACTGATTGCTGCTCGGGAACTGGCCGGGCATCCATTAGTGGGTGGTAAGCAACTGTACTGTGGGTCACTTGTCTGTCCTGGGCTTTGTTCCTTTTTATCCTTTTCATTTTTTATTATTTTTATTTATTTTATTTCAGTTATTAAAGTGTTCTTTTCTAAACCCTTGAGTTTTACTTTTTCTGATTCTCCTGCCCATCCTCTGTGTATGTGTGTACACATGCGCTGAGTTGCTGGCTGGGGTTAAATCACGACTACACAGAAAATTTTCACTATTGGAAAGAGCTGGTTTTTGTTCCCTTCTGTATTGAGCTGTAATTATACCATGAAAGCGCTCCAGAGTTTCCTTCAAATCATGTATAATGCTAAAGAGAGCTTTAATCCTGCTGAATGGCACTTTCATAGTTCTGTTTGCAAACCATAGGAAGCATTTAACTTCTTCCAGAGAATCTTTACTTTGTGCAAGTTTTTCCTGTAGCAGAAATCTTTCATTATAATTAAATGCAAATTATACAAAATGCATCTTGCAGACAACAGCTAGCCTTCATTTTAGGGGTATCACTCCCAGAATTAACTTAAATATATATATATATATGTATGTATGTTTTTATATATATATACACATAAAAAATGTAATGCTTGTCCTGGTTTTGGCTGAGATAGTTAATTTTTTTCCTAGCAGCAGACACAATGCTGTGTTTTGGATTTAGGATGAGAGTAATGTTGATAACACACAGCTTCTCATACTGCCCTGCCAGCGAGGAGGCTGGGGGTGCACAAGTAGAGTTGGAAGAGGACACAGCCAGGACAGCTGACTCCAGATGACCCAAGGGATATCCCACACCATATGGAATCATGCTGAACGATAAAACCGGGAGGGGTGGGAGGGGTAGTTGGCCAGGGAGCGGCACTGATCACTGGCTGGGCATATGCTGATTGGTGGTAAGCACAAACT